AAAAAGGGCCAACTTCGAACCAAAACACACAAATTGGTTTTGAATAGTTTTCCACATAAGGAACATTCATCTCCCACTCTAGTTCAAGGACAGCTTAGAGATCCTTTTTCAGATCATGCAAATGACAGCAGCAACTTAAATAATTACACGTTTCTTAGAATCAGCAATATCAGCTTTAGGAAGAAAAAAAAAAGAAAAAAAAGTGTCTCTGGAGCTGGGACAAGGCAGCAGATTTTCATTGTTTACTCCAACGTTTCATAAGCAGTTTCCTTTTTCAGGCAACAATTGATGTGCCATGTATCATTAAAGAATGAACTGACTTATAAATAGCATGAATACAAGGAGAACCCCATTGTTCTTATTTGCGCTGGTAAATATGAGACATGGCAGATAAGACTTCTCTGAAGTGGGATTCTAATTCCCTTACTAAATTTAAAGCCTCGCATTAGCCAGGGTGGCTGGAGAAGCAGCACCTTCAGTGTCTGGCCCACCAGGTCACCTCCTCCTGTCTCCATGGGATGGAGAGTGACACCCCTGAAGCAGTACCCAGCCAAGGGATGCAGGAGTGACACAGAGCAAGCTCAGCCACAGGACACAGCCTGGGCTGAGACAAAAAGCTCCACATCAGCTGTTTACACCATGCAATCCTAGGCAATGGCTGCAATTCCTACTGAGTCAAGGCAAACCCTCCTGTGATTGTCTTTCTAGCAGGCCAGGGCCATTCACTCTGCCTTTCTTCCTTAATTTCCAGATCTTTACCAAACATTGTCTGAAATCCCCACATCTTACCTGAATAAGGAAGAAACACTTGCCCAGCTTGGAAGTCCAAGATTCCCAACCATGTCAATATGTCTCAGCTGAGATGACCACAATACACAAAATATCACCATACAATTCCAGAAGGCTTCAACCCACACGGAGTCACACCACACCACTTCAGAAAGCTGCCAACATCTTCCTTCTTGTCCCCCAGCCCAGCCTTTTATCCCCTGATGTTGATGCCCTGCCCCTGTGTGCCCTCTGCTCCTTTGGTGGTTGGTCAGTGCCCTGGGCACTCCCTGGCTCACTGCTGTCAGTGCTGCTCACCTGCTGCTCACAGCTGTGCCCATTGGGGTTGAGGCTCAGCTGTCCCACTCCCAGTCACCACAAACTGTGTGCCCACAGCAGTCATGAAGCACTCCCAAGACGAAGCTACAAATGCAGTGCAGAAGAAAACCCAGAGTCCCATTTCACCCTGCAAATGAAGACAATCCCCCTCTTTTGAGAGGACATTAATATTCCCAGGTAAAAAGCACTAACAGGACCATTGATCTGCCTCTCCATGTATTTCCATTTTCAAATCAATACCACCACAAAATCTTTCATTTGAGGCTTATATACCTTCCTCATTTACACCCTTCTCCTCCCTTCCTTGGGAGCTATGATCCTATTTAAAGTATATGAAAGATGTTGAACTGAACAAGGAGCTCACCTCCCAAAGTGTTACCCTCTCTCAGCTGGCATAGATGATACATAAACCGCTATAAATTACATACATAGGGCCACAACTCCCTTCAAGGAAGCCACCCCCTGAAGGGTTAAACACACAAACTGGAGCTCCTGTCTAATTCCTCTTAATCCTTGGCTACACAGCACAGAAGATGAGGTATTATTGCTGCCAGACACAAAGTAGGGTACAACACAAGGCCACCCAAAATATCCCGCAGCATGCAGTCCTTGTCCGGGGAGGCAGGGCTGAAGGGAGTCATGAGGTGTGCAAGTGATGCCAGCAGGCATTAGTCATTCTATATTAAATATAAAATCATGGTGGTGAAACCCTCAGCCCTGCCTAAAAGGTTAAAAGAGGATTTATGTTGGAGAGCCAAGAGAAAGGAGTTTAGCAGTTGCTGAGGGGTTTTTTCCCCAGCAGAAACATTAAAAAAGGCAAAGAATGGCAAACTGAAGGGACCCCTTTAGGACACCTACATTACTCTTTTTTACATGAGATCAACAGTGATGATTGTATTAGCCTAATGATTAATACAACAGGGGGAAAAGCTGAGACTGATCACCAAACACATTCACACAATGTCAAATCATCTGGTCTGTCACTGTAGATTATAAATAGGATAAAAAATAAAATTAAAAAACAAGCTTTCAGATTCAACAACTACTATCCAAAATTACCATATAGCTGTAAAATACACTGGAAGAAGCACTTAAGTTTTCTTTAGAATCTCAAATATTTAGTATTTGAAGAAAGCTTAACCTCACTACTTGCATTTTCCTGACACACATCCCACCACCACCACTTTTCTTTCCATATAGTAACAACATACACAGAAACATACACAAGATAAAAGGCTAGTGATTGAAAAATAAACCACAAATTGCAAACAAACATTTTGTTTCCTAAACTTTTGTTGTTACTTTACTGAAAATAACAGAACCCTTCAGTTTCAAGGCATGTCAGCTGCTCTGGGTTCAGCAAGGATTCCCCACAGTCCTGCCACTGAAAAGTTCTGCCCTTGGACACTGTTCACAAAGCACCGACATACAGCCCTGGGAGCTGTACAGTCACTGGGTCTTGAGTCTGATTCCACAGGGCAAACCCCAGGGATGGATGAGAAATATTGAAAAGATACTTCCTTCCTCAGTTAGGGCACTAGGTGGATCTTTTCCATATATTTGATATTATTTTAGAAATAAATTAGTGACAGAATTGAGGGGGATGGGGTGGGAAATCACACCACTTCCCAGCACAAGGATTAATTCACTCCTAGAGCAAGTGGTTTCACACAAGCCTGCTCTTCTTTTATACTGCCTGCTGGCAAGACAAAGCTGGGCCACTGTTTCAAAACTGTAAATATCTCTATTTCACACCAGGTATCTGTCACCCAAACCCAGTGCTGCAGTCTGTATTAGACAAAAGATCTATTAACATCCTTACTCCCGCTGCTCTCTTGCCAATCTCAGACAGCACGTCTAGCACCGGGCAGCTCCCCATGCTCAGTGGTTCACTCACATGCCACGGTGCAATTAAGATGATTTCTGGCACCAGGGCAGAGCAGGCAATGAAGAGTAATCACGCAGACATTGTTAAGACTATCCTATTACTGTTTTTCCCTCTTCTTTAACCATACCGAGACACAAAACCCAACACACTCCTCATAAGAGAAGAAAAAAAACCACAATATTCACATTCCTTCCCTGCAAAAAAAAAAAAATCCAAACCAAAACAAACAAACAAAACCAAATAGAAAAAATATATAAATATGTGAAAAAAAAAAAAGCTGTGCTGCTTATTCAGTACCCACTGACAGTCAGCTTGAACCCAGAATGTCACTGTAGCAGTTCTTGTGCTGGACAGCAAAAGCCTTCCAGAGAAATTCCATCACTTAAGAGGAAGACTGCATATGGTTATGTTTTTGAAAGTTGAAAGCTGATTATAATTTATAATGCATTTATAAAGAAGTACAGTAAGCTAATTACATTTGGGAGAAGGCACATTTTAGAGGCTATAAAGATACAACCAGTAATAGGAAATTCTAACTCCCAATTATGCCTCTCAGTGTTCTTTACAGAATAAAACATTTGCTTGTGATTTCAGAAGCGGTTTACATTGAACAATGTAAAAGTTGTTTGAAGTTCCAATGGTTGCTCTCTTCCCTGCTCAGCAAATACTCATGTCAAATGCTTTTACAACGTGTAAGAATATTGCAGCCATAGGATTGAGTCCTTCCCAAGTCAAGAAACTCTGCTCAAACTGAGACCTGAAGGGTTGTGATCCAAATGCCCACCGGCAAAGGCCTGACCCTAGAAACAACTGTCCATCAAGACAAAACGTGACACAATAGTAAGGAAAAAATTATAAAGGTGTATCTTTTACAAATTGTTAGCAGGGGTACAAAGCCCTGCACAACAGGAGTATTCTCATAAAAATAGCATTAATTACTTAAACCAGCAGCACTGCTAAAACAGGTCCTTTTCCAATACTCTCCTGTTGGTCAAAACACGACCATCAGCAGCACACTGCACACACAGCAGGATGGGATCACATCTGAGATGGAACAGTGCTCAAATTCCCTGGCAATCATTTCAGAGAGGATCTGTCACTGCCAGTATAGGACAGCAACATTGCACACAGGTCATACTTAACCTGCAGAAGAACCAGCAAAAGCAGCCATGAAGAGAAAAAACATCCAGAGCTGTCAAATAAGAATTGGAAATACCACTTTTGGTAAGATCAAACAAAAAAAACCCCAAACCTGAAAACCACTACAGCATCAAAACTAACACTTAATTCCCAGGAGGAAGCATGGCTGGGGGATCTGTATGGCTGTGCAGTACTGAGGGGTACTGCAAATGGTCAAACCACTACACACTACCACCACCCTCTCCTGGCTGGCCCACTCAGCAGTGCCAGCCCCAAATTTCCAAGAATGGCAAGTCAAAGGTGAAGAAGTGCAGAAGGCAGCTGCAGGAGATGCTGCAACTTAAAGCAAGCACAAGACTCATTCTCACACCTGGCTTCTCAGTATTACCACACAAGACAGGAGGAACGGTGTGAATGACCAGCTCTGTGACTGAAGACAGAGCAAATAAAACACTTACACTTCACAGATGATGCTGCAAACCTGGTTTCCACCCAGTGCTTTTCAAGTTAGTCAAGCAGAAAACCTTTAAAGACCCTTCAGTCAAAGCAAATGGCTTTGTGATAAGGGAAGTTTCCAACTAAAATGTTACACTTTTACCACCTGTCACATCCAGGAATAAAAACAAAACCACTTTCATACTCATCAGTCAGCTATGTAGAAAAGTAACCAAAATTGGAGGTGTGTGAGGAGACCTATCACCCCAGGGACTTAGCCAGGCAGGGATGACAAGAACTTCCATGACACGAGCTGTTCAGAGCCAACGCTCATGTTCAACACCGACACCACAACTTCAGTGAAAAATCAGCCATAATCCTGGAATTACACAGTGTTAACAAGACAAATAATTACTGAATAAACCTTTACCTCTGCTCGTTGCGTGCGGGGCAAAACAGAAGACTTCTCAATGGCATAAACATCCACCAGGTAGAGCCGTGCTCCTTGCTCCCTGTCCAGAATGGCAGCAGTCTGGATGACCCCGGTGCGGCGCCCGATGGTGAAGAGGCGCCCGAGGCTCCTGTCCTCGCACCGGACAGACACGATGTAATATTCCACCTGTGCCTCGGAGCCCCGCGGGCTGGCCGCTTCCAGGGATATCACGTTTGTCCCAATGGGCTCGCCCTCCTTCAGGATGGTGATGTACTTCGGCTGAGTGAAAACAGGTCCGTCAACCCCTTGCAGAATTATAGTCATCTCGGTGGTGGATTTTCTCCTTTCGGGGCCCAGGTCAGTGGCAGAAACTATGAGATTGTAGATGAGCTGAGAAGGCACCAGCGCTGAGGCTACTCTCAAGTCTCCGCTGTAGCGATCCACGATGAAGGTTTCGGTGTCACCATTGACTATTTCATACTCCACCTCGCCATTGGCACCCTCGTCAGGATCTGCAGCAACGATGGTGGTCAGGATGGAGCCGATCACAACCGAGGGGTCAGCTGCGAGGGCGTTCTGCGATACGAACACGGGCACATTGTCATTTTGATCCGTCACCAGAATGGTCACGTTCTTGAGGGCAAAGCGCCTGGACTCCACAGGAACGGCCTGATCGGTGGCTTTGACTGTCAACTCAAAGAGATTGGCAAACTCCCGATCGATTTCAGCATTGGTAAATATTGTCCCTCTCACCTCATCGATACGGAAGTGATTCCCCCTTGGCATCTGCTGGATGATGGCATACGTTAGCTGCCCATTAATATCCGCGTCTGGATCGTGAGCAGTCACGGAAATGACAGAGCTACCCACAGGAACGTTCTCAACAATTGATTTAAAGATGTCTCCCGGAGGAAAATGAGGAGGGTTATCGTTGAAATCCCTAACGTGTATGACCACTGACATGGTAGAGGATCGCGGGGGCCTTCCCTGGTCTTTTGCCGTTATATTTAGCTTATATAGAGATTGTGTCTCAAAGTCCAGTTTCTTGGCAAGAAAAATACTCCCAGTGTTGGGACTGATGCTAAAGGTCCCATGATTGTTTGTCCCTGTAATGCTGTAGTGGAGGTCAGCGTTGTCACCTGAATCAGAATCAGTGGCAGTGACAGATGACACAAGTTCACCAACCCTCATATTTTCTAAGACATCCACTAACAAGGTTGATTTAGGGAAGGAAGGGCTGTTATCATTTTCATCCAACACATCAATGCTCAACATGCAAGTTGAACTTAAAGGAATGGCTCCAGAGTCTACCGCTTGGATGACAAGGGAATACGACGCAGTAGCCTCATAATCTAGTCTGCCTACTAAGGTCACTTGGCCTGTGCTGCTGTCTATTACAAACTGATTTTCTTCATTTCCCTTGATTACAGAATACTGAATCAACCCATTAACCCCTTCATCAACATCTGAGGCAGAAACTCGCAGCACCTGTGTCAGATTTGCTGCCAATTCTGATATAGTAGCTTGATAAATGTCTTTCAAAAATTTGGGGGCGTTATCATTGATGTCTTTCATGTAGATCTGTACAGTTGCCTGATCTTTCAGAGGCTTTGGCAACCCCTGATCCGTGGCTATTACTGTAAGGCTAAATACTGCAGCTCCCCTCTGTCTCATGAGAGCTTCTCTGTCAAACTGATGAGTGCTTCTGATTTCCCCAGTTACCGTGTTCAGCTCAAAATCTGGCTGCATATGCTCAAATGAATACCTGACCTCACCATTCGGCCCAAAGTCTTTATCTACAGCATTTATTTTACCCACATAGGACCCACCTCTCTGTTCCTCTTCAAAATAAAACACATAGTTGGTACTGTTGAACAGGGGCCTGTTATCATTTACATCCTCCAGAATCACCGTAACGTTCACAGTAGCATTGAGTGGTTCTACGGCTCTGTCAGAGGCAACGACCAGTAAAACATATCTTTCCTGAAGCTCACGGTCCAGTTCACTTTTTATATACAGCTGGCCATCTGGGAATATGCCAAAGGCATCCCCAGCATTTCCTTCAATTATACTGTAAGCTATTTCACCGTTCACTCCCGAGTCTTTGTCAGAAGCCTGTACCTTAAAGAACCTGGTATTCACAGGCTCTGACTCCAAAATAGTAATTTCATAGGAAAGCTGGTCAAACACAGGCGGGTTGTCATTTACATCGTGGACAGAGACAGTCAGGATAAAGGTGGAGGACAGCTGAGGCACCCCCATATCCGAGGCCAGGATTTCAACCTGGTAAGACCCAGCATTTATGTCAAGCGGCCCCGTTAAGCTTATAGCGCCAGTTCGTTCATTGATTGCGAACAAGCCCTTTGGGTTTTGCTTAAGGCTGTAAAGGACCATGCCATTAACACCTTCATCAGGATCAAGAGCTTTGGCCTGGAATATGGTATGCCCAGCTTTCCAGTTCTCAACAACATTTACACTTTCCACCACTTGAACAAAGTGTGGGGAATTGTCATTTAAATCTTTGACAGTTATATTGACCACAGCATCGCCAGTAATTGTCCCACCCCTAGCAACCACCTTCAGCTGGTAAAATGCTTGCTCCTCCCTGTCAATAATACTGGCTGTGGTGATCTGCCCCGTCACCCTGTTGATGGCAAACACGCCCCTCTGGTCACCCGTCGTAATGAGGTAACTGATGTTGGTGTTGAGGTCCATGGTGGAAGCAAAAACAGTACCTACGTGGTAACCCAGGGCAACGTTTTCAAAGACAACAAAACTGTACGTGCCCTGGCTGAAAACAGGGGGGTTGTCCTGTGTGTCCAAGACAGTGATGGTGACAATGGCTTGGTTCTGCGACTGAAGATGGCCACCATCAGTGGCCACAATCTGCAGCTGGTAAGCAGTTTTCTCCTCCCTGTCCAGGGCTATTTTTGTTGTGATGACCCCTGTCTGCCCATGGACCTGAAACCTGGAGGTATCTCCAGCTGAGATGCTGTACTTGACTGTCCCATTGGGTCCCAGATCGGGGTCTGTGGCAGACACGGTGGTCACATAGGTGCCGGCTGGCTCATTCTCTTGGATATGGGCAAAATACTGAATGGGGTAAAACACAGGGCTATTGTCATTCACATCCAGGATGCTCACGTTAACTCGGGCCACCGAAGAAAGGGGAGGAGAGCCCAAATCAGTGGCCAGGACCTGCAAGGAGAAGTGAGACTGCTCCTCCCGGTCCAGCTGCGAGATGGTGCTGAGCTTGCCCGAAACCGGGTCCAAGCGAAACATCTGGCGAGGGGTCACAGAGGAGGGTCCAACTGCTACCAGCGCTGGCTCGGCTTCCTGCAGGGAGAAGCGGACAGTCCCATTGTCCCCCAGGTCCCCATCAGTGGCACTTAGGACAAGCAGCTCAGTTCCTGATGGGGAGTTTTCAGCCAAGGACACCTGGTAACCCTCAGGCTGACTGAAGCGAGGCTTGTTGTCATTGACATCCAGGATGGTCACCACCAGCTGCGCGTAGGAGAATTTGGGCTGCACCCCCTGGTCGCGGGCACTGACGTTGAGCACCACCTGAGAAGCAGTCTCCCGGTCCAGCCTGCTAGAGCTGGGTGTACCTGCAGCACTGCCACCCTCGGGGACAGCCGTGGTGACCAGCCCGCTGTGCTCGCTGATGCAGAACCAGCCCAGCTCGTTGCCCGAGACAATGCTGTACTTGAGGTTGGCGTTGAGGCCGGAGTCACGGTCCGTGGCACTGAGGCCCCGCACGTAACTGCCCGGGGGCACGTCCTCGCTGATGTTCACCCCGTACACCGACTGCCCGAAGACAGGCGGGTGGTCATTGATGTCGTTCACAAAGATCACCAGGCTGGCCACCGAGGAGCGGCTCACGGGAGCTGCCACCGCTCCGTCGGGGGAAAAGACGGTAGCGGGGGAGCCTGGAGGTGGCGGTGGGGCCCCGTAGTTATCCGCCACTGCCACGGTGAGGTTATAGGCCGGGATGCGCTCCCGGTCCAGCGCGGCCGCCACCTTGATGAGGCTGAGGTTGGGTACCTTACTGCTGTGCACCTCAAAGTGCCGCTGCTCGTTTCCCGCCAGGATGGACACAGAGATGTTCCCGTTGGCCGCCGGAGAGTCAGCATCGCTCACCGTCAGCAGGGCCACCACTGTGCCGGGGGCCGCGTTCTCATCCACAGAGGCAAAGCGGGAGGTGGCCGGGAAGTAGCGGAACTTCACCCGGGGCTCGTTGTCGTTGACGTCAAGCAGGCGGATGAGGGCCTCGGCCCGGCCGCTCAGCGCTGGCACCCCGCGGTCCATGGCGTGGACCGTCAGCGAGTACTGCTGCCGCATCTCGTAGTCCAAGCGCTCACGGATGCGGATCACCCCGCTCTCGGGGTCCACCTCAAAGGGGAGGCTGCCAGCCCCGTCCCCAGCACCGCTGCCATCGCCTCCTTCCAGGCGGTAGCGGATGTCAGCGTTGGTGCCCTCATCAGCATCAGCGGCGGTGACCTGGAGAACGCTGGCCCCGACGGGTGCATCCTCAGGCACTCGTGCCTGGTAAAGCGTCTGGCTGAAGATGGGCGGGTTGTCATTGATATCCTGCACGGTGACGTTGACCTGAAGGTACCCTCGCCGACGGGGCTCGCCCTTGTCCTCCACCTGCACCAACAGCTGGTAGGTGGGGGTGGCCTCCCGGTCCAGCCCTCCGCGGGATACCAGGTGCAGGAAAGCCCCCTCGCCGCTGGGGTTGAGGGTGATGTTGAGGCGGAAGCGACCCTCCTCGTTGCCGGCCACGATCCGATAGGAGCCATGGTCCACGCCATTGGTGCCACTGTCGGCGTCAGTGGCAGTGTCCAGGATGAGCTGGCGCCCGCTGCCCGTGTCCTCCTTGAAAGTCACCACGATGGAGGGGTCGGGGAAGACGGGCGCGTTGTCGTTGAGGTCGAGCACCAGGACGCGCACCTCGCTGGGGTAGGTGGGCTGGCTGGAGAGCACCACCAGGTCCACCACGTCGCTGGCCAGGCTCTCGCGGTCGATGGTGGCGCGGGTGTGCAGGGCGCCCGAGGTGGCGTTGATGGCGAAGAGCTCGTGGTGCTCGCTCAGGCGGTAGGTGAAGCCGGGCCGGGTGGCGATGGTGCCCACCCAAGTGCCGGGCGGCTGCTCCTCCAGCACCCGGAACACCTGGCGCGGCTCCGCGGCGGCGCTCCCCAGCGGCGGCAGCAGCGGCAGCAGCAGCGGGGTGCGGGGCCCCCGGGACCGTCCCGCCCGGAGCGGGGAGCCAGCCGGGAGCCGGGCGGGCTGGGCGGAGCGGGTCGGGCTGCCCCGCGTACCGGGGGACCGGGCTGCGGCGGCGGCGCTTACTTTGGAGGCGGCTCTGGAGCGAACTTGCGGGTCCCGTTATCCCGGGAAGATGCGGCGCTGGCCGCGCCTCCCGCGGGCCGGCAGCGCCCTCTGCCGTCACCGCCCGGCGCGGCTCCCGGAGCATCTCCGGGGTGCCGGAGCATCCCGCGGGAACCTCCGTGCCCACCGAAAAGCCCCCTTTCCTCCATCCCAAAAAACCCGCACAAAATCGAGGAAGCTCCTTTTCCCCGCGGCGGCGCAGGCAGCAAAAGTTTTATTTTTGTGTGCGCTCTTCTTTAAATACAAGCAGCGGTCGTAAACACAAATCAATAGACGGCAATTAAAGTCCCAAAGATAAATCTAGCAATTTAAGTGACAAGGTAAATCCAGCACAGCCGCATAAAGGATCATCAAATTGCAGAGTTTATTTATCTCTGTGAGTTAAAGAACCTGGTAGTGTATTTTCCAGCATGGAAAAGTCGGAAAAGTGAGGAAAGAAGTGAAAAAAAAAGAAAAAAAAAGTAGGAGAGGGTAGAAGGATGTGGTGTCAAAGTTTGTTCCGCGCTAGTACCCTGGATATGATTAAAGAAAGGGAGGTCAAATGACCATTATCAGCAATCTTGACTGGAAGCAGTAAGGAAGAACGGGTGGTCCCTGTTCTATGCTGTCATTAACACAAAGAGAACAGTAATTCTTGCACATCCCTCTCGGGATGGATCCTCGCACCCGCGATGAGCCCCGACCCCGTGGGCACAGCACCTCTCCCCGCACGGCAGTGTGTGGTCTGCCTGCATTTAGTTTTCCATTTTTCAGCGTCTGATGCCGACCTGAAGAAGGGCTTTTGTGCCTCGCAGCACTCTGCCTTTCCTAGTTCAGTAGGAGATAAGTCTGTCCCGGGTGTGAACACCTCCTCCTCACTCGGTGAATCTGTGGGACAGCCGAGAGCGGCTGCCCCGCGCTGCCGCCCGCCTGGCTCCGCGGCACTGCCGCGCTCTGCTCCAGTTCTTTGGTATTTAACTCCACCTACAGGCCTGCACCGACCCTCGCCTGCGGCCGGCAGCTCGCTGGCTGCTCTCGGAAGGTGCTTTCTTCACTTCTGTCTCAAAAATGCTCGCGTCTTAGAGCAGCCAGCAAAACCCAGTATGGTGCACTACTGGCGAATAAGATTGTATGGGCTGGAGTGGGGGGAGTGCCAGTACAAATTAACATCAGCCTTCACTAGAGCAGGTCTTTGAGCTTAATCACTGGAGTTTTTCCCTCACTACCTGGGATTTTTCACACCTGTCAGGTAAATTGGACATCCAAGTCCAGAACACAGCATGGAGAAACATTCTGCCCCTGAAAGGGCCTTTGGTTCTTTCCCTAGTTATGGTTAGAAATAGAATTAATCACTAATCAACTGTTTTTCATCTGGAACAGGCACAGTCTTGTCCTGACACTGTTCAAGCTCTTCTGTGTCCATAGCTTGTGCTTCCCTGTGGGTTCTTCTCTCAAATGCCAAAATAACAAATGCTGCTGCAAAAGTATGGAAATTCAAACATCAGCCTTTTGAATATTGTACATCAGAGGTATGCAAAATGGCTAAAATTCTAGGCAAGAAAGAATATCCAGAAAGCACGAGAATATCTAGACAATAGGTTTTAAAGCACCATTTTTTGCTACTCTAGAAACTCATAACTAATGTCTGTCAATATTAGATCCCAGAATTATCATCTGTTCCCCTTGCATTATATCAAAAGGAAGTTATACATTGCGAAGTCTTGCAACACATGAGAATGAATCAAACAAAATCTGTTTGCCAGTTTACAGGCCATGTAATTTAATATTTGCAATTATATCAATGATCTGATATGACAAATGTAAATATCTCAGAATTTCTTCAAAAACATAATTTGCTTAAGCCTTTTGTACCTGTAGATATAAAACTGTTTTTCTAGATGAATCACTCACAAAAGAAAAAAGAACACCCTTTAAATTCCTGAAGTGCTTCAATACATCAAAATTCCATTCCTTAGGATTCAGAAAGTTACTTTTTTAAACCCAAATGTTTATGAAAAGTTATACAAAACTTTATAGACAATTTTCAGTTACAAAAATAATTGCAGGCAATTTTTAAAAAATAATTTTCTCATTACAACTGTATTTTTTTTTACTGAGCTGTTTCAAATGTAGTCAAACTTAGAAGATGTTTTAAAACCAACTGTACTTTTAAAACCAAAAAAAAAAAAAAAAGAAAAACCACCCTGATGTTTTAAAACGAACTGTACTTTTTTTAAAAGTTATTTTAATGGCTAAGAAAAAGCCCATTGAAATTGAAGCAGCTTTGGTAGATATTAAGCAATACCTTTATTATAAAGTCTGTGCATGTCAGTGGAATTACTCTGGTGGTTCATCAGCATAAGTGTAGGTTGAGTTTTGACCCCTTTTAGATTAACACAAGTACATTTCAACAGAGTTAAGACTATGCTAAGAAGCACTCCACCACTCCTAACTTGCAGGAATGGAAATAAAGTGAAGAATAGGTCATTTTTGCACTTTTTGTCTTGCCTCCAGCTCTGTTGATAACACCTCCCAACACTTCATCAGGCTTTCACCTCCAGATATGGGAGAAGTAATCTAATCCCAACACTGTCCAACTCACACTCCACTGCAAAGTCTTAATAACGACCTCAGTGTCCATCGTCAACAGATCAACACATCTGGCTGTCACTTTTAATGTGCTTCCAACGCTGTTTTTGCCTAAAGTGGGCCATGATGCTGCTGAAATGTTGTGCTGGAAGGCACAGACAGTACAGAAGCAGAGGGCTGATGAATGAAGTGAAAAGCATTGTAGGGAAGAAAGAAATTCTAAGCAATTTTTTTTTTACTTGGATCAGTCTGATGGAAATTGAATGCATACCTATTATCTCACACAGCCCTCCGAGGTCTCAGGGTTGCAATTGGATATCACAAGAGGGAGAGGATTTTATTCTGCAGCCAGAACAGGAACTGGTTGTGAATTCAGCAGATCTGGCAGGTAGGTTTCTGTGTTTTATATCTGATGAGCTGAAGGTAAGAGCACAAAAGCTCTGTTTGATGCACCCTGCTCCTGAATGAGGCAAGACTGGGCACTGGGCATTCTCATTATTTCTTGAAGGCAGCTGGAATCCTGCCCACACTTGCATCATTGCAGTTCAGTCGATGATCTTAAAGGTCTTCTCCAACCTAAATGATTCTATGATGATCTACAGACCCCAACTTCATTGAACTTCACTGATGTGAGACATTTCTTTCTTAAGAGGGTGCAGGGTGTGTTTGATGAATGAGTACATCTATTTTTCTTTGGTTCTCTTACTGAACTTTGTTGGTTCTTCTTACTAACTGCATTTGAATTTTTAACAACACTTTGTATTTCAGCTAGGGACAGAGAGAGTGAAAAACACTTTTGCTGCACCACTTTCTCCTTTGATGCTCCAGGAATAAAAATATTGTTATAGTGTTTTTCTCAGGATGCAGTTTAGCAGTCCTTGAGGCAGAATAATGTTGATTTAAATCAATAGGTATTGAACCCTACCTTTTCATTATTAGACAGATAACGCACCAGGAGTCCTGCTGTTGTTATGAGGACTGAACATGGCATATCATTCAAGTTTCACTTGCTCTGACACTAAACAATTTAAATGGAGATATTCATAATGTGTCACTAAGCATCACATCCTCCCAGAGACAGCAGCATCTGACTTTTAGAGCCTGATTCAACTCTCAGTTCCCATCCCAGTCACACTAATGAGAGCTGAATTGGCCTTTTGATATTTATTACTTAATAGACTCACTCTGCTTGGAAAAAGAACATTAAAGTGTTTTCCCAGCCATGTTTTATAGCCTAGAAATATACTGGTCTGAACTCAGTAGTTTAATTTTTCAACACCTGCTCTGCAACACCATGTTTTCTTTTTCCTTTAACAGCTAGTGCACCCCACAGTGCTTTTAACTGCATATTGTGGCTTTTTTTTTTCCTTTTTTTTTCTTTTAAATTAAGGTTTTGGGGTTTTTTAATAGCTCATGGTCTGGCTGCTGACAAAACCCTGCTGAAGTCAGCAGCTACCACATTTTAAAAGGTTTTGAAAAATATTCTCTACAGTTCAAGTGTAAATTCAGCATTATTTGACTCAAAGTCAGATTCCCATCAAATGAATGGATGAATCCCATCACTCCTGAACAGAAAAAGAAAGTAAAAAGTTCCTGTAAAAAACCCCTATCACATAAAAAGTGGAAATCCTGCAATTCAAAGCCAAAACTGTACTGATCTCTGGCAGTTAAGGATAACTTAAATGACAAGGAGAAAGAAAGAGACTCTCAAAGCAAATGCTCGTTTTTGGTGCATTTTTGTTTTATGTGCTCTGATTTCCTTGTCACAAGATGCAAAATCCTAAATCGCAACAAATTGCAATTGTAACAAATCTCATAATTATCTGTTCTGTAAAGGGCTTGTATAATTATCTTTTCTGTTGTCACAGTAAAACTGCTATGGATCAAATCGGGAGTTTGCAAAGTCACTGGAAAATACTGAAATATGTGGAATGCACACATATTGTTATGGCTTGGAAAGCCACAAATTGAAAGAGTAAATTTAAAAAAAAAAAGGCTTTAATAGCATTTTGTCCATAATATGCTACTTAGTCATTAAAAAAACCAAAAGCAGTGCTGTCAGCTATTTTAGCTGGTTTATTAAGATGATTTCAAGACTGAAACTGTAATTTCCTGGGAACCCACAAGATGGTAGAGTTAAGCTGAGGAGAGAAACTAGCCTGAGTCTTTTGCCTGGACCATAAGCACATAGTTACTAACTAGTTAAAAGTGCTAATTTTGCTATGTCCCAGAAACTCAAACAATTTTGACCTTTTTTTTTTTTTTTTTTTTTTTTTTTTATAATCTGTTTAAACATTTGGAACGCTTTGCTTTTGCTTTTCTGGCTTAGTCTTTGTTTTCTGTTTGAAGGAATGCACCTCATTACTCCTTCAAGCATCTGTATTCCATATTCTTGATGGAGTTTAGTAATGGGATGCAATTACTGACAGCAAGACACTGGGAAAATAAACTATTTGTCTGGAATCCAGAAAATCTGAAACACATCATCCTGCAACTGTACACAGTCACTGTGAAGCTGCTGGGCACTTAGTCTTCA